TGGTACACTGCCTCCCATGGGATATTGTCAGAGATGTTTAACGTACATTATCCATTCAGAAAAAGAGAGCTCAGGTGATTCACCCAGCAACACAGCTCCTAAGAGCTGCAAATTTTCCCTAAGTTTTCTGACACCTGCCCAGCCCCACAAGTGATAGAATATAAAACCCATGAGACATTTGTGCCCTTCTCCTAGGAACTAGAAACCCCCACATCTTGTTATACTATAGTGAACGCAGAGTCAATTCTGAAAGAGAATGGTAAGACAGCTGGTTCTTCCCAAAGACAATATATACTCACTCTCTTATTTAATAAATATGTACTGAGTGATGACCATGGGTGAGGCACAGAGCTAAGCTTTATGGATACAGTAATGAATAAGTAAGACAGGCCTTGTCTTAGGTCTCATGAAGCCTACAGACTAGAAAGGATCTTACAGGGCTAAAATTATGCTGTTGCCATGAAATTATGTTTTCATTCACTCAAGAAATATTTATTGACTCCATACTAAATGTCATGCTTTGTGTTAAGAGCAGGGAATAAAATGGTGAGCAAGGGCCGGCCCGGTGGCGCACTGCTACAGTGCGCCACTTGAGAGTGCGGCGGCGCTCCCGCCAAGGGTTCAGATCCCACATACAGACCAGCTGCTCACTGGCTGAGCGAGGTGTGGGCGCAACACCGAGGGTTGCGATCCCGTTGCCGTCCCGGTCCGGTACGGGCGTGACACTGAGGGTTGCGATCCGTTGCCGGTCACGAAAAAAGACAAAAAGAAAAAAAAAAAAAATATGGTGAGCAAAACCACACATGATCCCTGCCCTCATGGAGCTTACAGTCTGATGAGAGAGATATTAAACATTCAGGTGCATACATGGTGCTATGAGAGCCTACAAATAGGGAAAACAGGCTTAATTAGGGTAGGAGATTCTTGCTTGAGAGAGTACGACTTAAGCTGAGAGCTGAAGGATGAATGAGTTAACCAGGCAGTGAGGGGAGGGAAGAATATTCAAGGTAATTTGAACAGCATGTGAGGAGATCCTGTTGTAAAAGGAAAGATGGTAGGCAGGAAGTCTTTGAAAGAGACCAGTGTAGCTGGAGAGCTAGAAATCAGCATCCTGGTGTCAGATGAGCCTGAGAGGTAGGCGGGAATAGTCCCATTGGGCATTGTATGAAATCTGACATACGTGCTAGGTTAAAATCCTGCAGGGCGCTTTCCCAGTTTGTCTGCGGGTTAATGCTCTTGGTACTGCTGCAAGTCCATGCTGGGGACACAGAACCCTGAAGCAGAGCGGCTCATTGCCCCAGCAAGCAGGAAGACTAGGTGATGGCTAGGATCTCCGCTGAAACCAAGGCTCTGCCTCCTACCACCCAGAATGACATCGAGGGAGGAACAACTTTTCTGAACCTTCGTTTCGAGAGTGCCATATGTAGCGGAGGAACAGAATGGTGTTTTGAGAGCCCATGAAATTATATTTAAATTCTTCATTCTTCAACTTCGAGGTTCCTCAGCTTTTAAAGGGGAATAAAAATATTTCCTTGTCAAGGTTCTTATGAGAATCAAATGAGATAATGTGTTAACACTTAACACAGTGTTTCGCTTATAGCAGGTAATCAATAAATAATAGCTGTTATTTTTCTTTATCTGATTAACGAAGACAGTAATAGCTCTGGTTACCCCCTAAGGTTATGAGCTCGGATTAGGTTACGTATGTGAAAGCAATGGGCTGGGCCTCCTCTGCGTAGTCCTATTCCTAATTTTAAGAGCCAGGAGCCTACTTGTTAGTCTGTTTTCACGTTCCTTATGAAGGCCTGGCCACTGCCTCCTGCATCTGCCTGGTGCACTGTTAAGAGCGATCTGTTAAAAGCGACCTCTCACTTTTCTCCTGTTTGGGGGTGCTCATTTCTAGGTGTATGGGTGTCCTTCCATTGGAAATCTCTGTCCCACACCAGGCTGTGGAGCCTTGCAGGAAAAGGCATACCCACCACGCCCAGCCTGGGCTGGCCCTGCTGCGGTGCCTGCAAGCGATCTGCCCGGGGAGCCCTGCAAGCGATCTGCCCGGGGGAGCTGGGTCGCAGGGCGGCGGGACGGGCCAATCAGAAGAAGTTTGGCCCTCTGCAGTTTCCGTCCGCTCACTAGGAGGCGCTGCGGCGGCGGCGGCTGCCGGGGCCGTCGCGGGCTGAAGGGGTGGTTCTGGCGGCTGCAGCTCGTGGCCATGGAGTGGGGCTCTGAGTCGGCGGCTGTGAGGCGGCACCGCGCCGGGTGGGAGCGTCGGGAGGG